CCCAAAGAAAACCAAAAGGCAGACATCCTCAAGATCTACTACGTTTAGGTACTTTGTAAAAATCAACGGAAAAGACCAAGAAGTTTGTAAACAACAGTTTTTATCTATCCATGGTTTGCAAAATTCAAAAAGACGAGTTTATAATATACTTTTGTATACATTTTTACACTACTTTGTAAAAATCAACGGAAAAGACCAAGAAGTTTGTAAACAACAGTTTTTATCTATCCATGGTTTGCAAAATTCAAAAAGACGAGTTTATAATATCTGTACCCAGATAAACCAAGGACTTCACACACCAAAGAGCGATGGTCGCGGAAGACACAAGAATCGGAAAAACAGGTTACCTGAAGAAACTATCCAGTCTATTCATGACCACATTAAGGCCATTCCGAAATATCGTAGTCATTATAGTAGAGAACGTAACCGACAAAAATGCTATATTGATCACGATATATCTATATCTTCTCTATACAAAAAATACTATATCCCTTGGTGTCAAGAACGGAACATTATTCCCGCAAAGGAAGATAGATATCGCAGAATCTTTTGTTCTGAATACAACATCGGATTTAAACTCCCTAAGAGCGACACGTGTGCAACGTGTGATGAATATAATACTTTGCTTAATACCCACAAAGGTGATGAGAATAAATTGAAGGAAATCAAAACAAATTTAGACCTACACCAAAGACGAGCAGAAGCGATGCAGACAAACACGAAGAATGAAATTCAAAGATCTAAAAATGAAAATGACTTGGAAGTTTAACTTTTTTTTTTTCAAGAATGAAATTCAAAGATCTAAAAATGAAAATGACTTGGAAGTTTAACTTTTTTTTTTTCACTTACCATGCGATCGAGACTTTGCTGCAATTGAAAAGCATATAAAATACTTGGGACAAGTTTACTCTCCTGAATGTTGGGTAGAGGCCGTCAAAGATTCGAAAAGTTGGCCCAGTTCCTATTAATGCAAAAAAGTTGGCGAATTTGAAGGTTTTACTTCCATATATTCCTGGAGTTTACCACAACTATTATGCTAGTGTTGGTGTCAAAACTACTGTTAATGAAATCGATGATGACGGTGAAGACCAAGAAGGAGGAGTGGAAAATATCGATGGTGACTCTGAATCCGATTAAGTAGTTTATTTTTCTCGTTGAAATCAAATAACCTAATATCTGTTTTGATTTTGCATTGACATTTTGATTTCAATAAATATTTTTACCTATCATTCTTTTCATTCTTTGGTAAATATTTAACATGTATAATATTTTGCAAAAAGGTAACAAGCCACATTTTTTCCAAAATTTCATCTTTTTTTCAAAATCCGTCACGACATTTTTCTTATTGCGGAAACTGAATGATACTATTTTGTCGTATAAACAAGAAAAACAATTATTTATAGGTATGTTTTAATTATCCTCATGTCAGGATTTAATGGAAAACGTTTATCGTGTTTTTCTCTAAACGATTGAAATGTGGCTTATTACTATTTTCCCCCAAGGTCTTCAATTGTAACATGCGGTTTATAACGACAATTTGACTCGGAATACCAAGTGTGTGGTATTAAATTATTAAAAAAATGCTGTTTCCAAATATGCTAACGAACTAGCCTTGTTCCATTTGAAAAAATTGAAATATGATTAAAAATACGATTTGGGCATTACGATTTTGGCATTTTTTAACCGGCCAAGACAAAAGACAGGAAAAATTTTAGACGATAAGATCTAGTTTTCCTACGTTCCTTGATTAAAAATGAGTGTTTTTAACACTGCCATGGTGGCACTCTGGATTGAAATTTAAAATACGATTGTTTTGTCAAAAGTTAACATATAATATGTTATTTTATTCAGAGTGTCATTTTCTATCGAATAATGTAAAAACATACCCAGGGTGTCATTTAAAAATCAAAAGTTGTCGTCATTTCCGGTGAAACATGAAGTGACCAAAAACAATTGAATACGTCAATCAATCATAATTTATGTCATATACTAACATACCAAATCTCGTTTTTATATATGAAAAAATAAAAAAGTTATAGGGGGTGAGCCAGTTTTGAGACGCACCCGCCATAGAGATAAAATCAGTAAATAATCGTAGTGAGCATATTATATTTGGAAGATGTATGTTTGGAAGGTAAGTATGTACTTTGGAAAGTAGTATGTAGTATAATTTTAAACTAAAGCTCTAATTTTTTCAACAGCTTTATATTTTATTTATAAAAATTATGCATATATCTACAGGGTGGTCCGAACTGAATTCCGGAAACTTCGGCAGCATATTCTGCAGATAAAAATATGTAAAAATGTTCGTATAGATGTATGTCCAAAAATGCTTAGTTTCGGAGATACAGGGTGTAGAAGTTTCATTTTTATTTTGATTTTTTCCAAATAATTTCTGCAATATCATCAATATTTGGATTAAAATTGGTGTTTAGGAGTTTTTTGATATGAGAAATTTGATTTTGATGTCAATATGACTCCCACTAGTAGAGGGCGCCACCTACATATTTTTTAACTGATTTGAAGAGTAATAACTTTTCGTCCGTTCCTGTATAAAACTACTGAGTAAAAAAATATACATTTACGACGCTTTCTACATAAAAAAGGTCTCTTGGTAAAAATCGCTACGAGTAATGGTTTTCGAGATATTTGGAATCGAAATTATCAATACCTGTCATCACTGACATAAATTAAAGGCTGTACTTAAACTGCCGTTAAACGGTAGCTTACTGAAATGCCGTTAATAGGTATGACGTCGTTGATGTGACGCACTTGACGGCTTTATGAAATATAGGAATTTTATAAGGACTAACCAACGCTATCCACCCCACCAAATAAATAACTTAACCAACGCATCTAACCTCGACGCTGATAAAAAAATATAAAAAACAAATATAAATTAGTAAAAACCAATCAACCCCACCAAATAACCAACTAACCAATGAATTAACACCCTCCAAATAACCACGCTAACCAACCTGCCAAATAACTAAACCAATCCATCCAAAAAGAGTGAAACCAATGCAATAAGATCACGCTACAAGCAAAAAAAATATAAAAAAGTCTTGGTCGGCGTGAGATTTGAACCACGAACCATTCGCTCACGAAGCGATAGCCTCAGCCACGGAGCCACAGGCGCTCTTACAGAATGCTTATAGTCCAGGCATTACTTTCCGCCGACATGAATGACGTCACAATATCTATTAACGGCATTTTAGTAGGCTACCGTTTAATGGCAGTTTAAGTACATCGTAAATTAAACATGTTGACTAAATAGTTATTAGACTGAGATCATAAATTTGAAATGTTTTTGTACCAAAAGTTCAACAAAAACTGTTTTATCATAATTTTTTTGCAGAAAAAATATGATTAATTAAAAAAAAAAAATTCCCAAATTTATTATTTCAGTGAATCTATTCAACGTGTTTTTTTTGTCAATAATGGCATGTATTGACTATTTCCACTCTAAATATCTTGAGAACGGTTGCACGTAGCGATTTTTACAGAGATATTTTTTACGTAAAAAATCACAGAGATGTACATTTTTTCCTCGGTAGTTTTATACAGGTACGGACAAAAAGTTATTAAGCTTCAAAATAGTTAAAACACATGTAGGTGGCGCCTTCTACCAGTAGGAGTCATATTGACATCAAAATCAAATTTCTCATGTCATAAAACTCCCAGACACCAATTTTCATCTAAATATTGACGTTATTTCAGAAATTATTTGGAAAAAATCGAAATAAAAATGAAATTTCTACATCCTGTATCTCCGAAATTAAGCATTTTAGGACATACATTTATACGAACTTTTTTATCTATTTTTATCTGCAAAATATGCTGCAGAAGTTTCCGGAATACAATTCGGACCACCCTGTATACAGTAGGTAAAAAATGGTATAATACAATTTGATAGACAATTAAATTGTGCATCTGATTCTCATAAAATATACAGGGTATTCCATTTAAATTAGATAAGTTATTGCCGTTTAAATCTAATAATTATTTAAAATAAATTTTTAGACACTCTGTATAAGGTAGTATTATTTTTATTATTGCAACACAACTGATCAATAAATAAACTTTAGTAAATATTTAGTATTAAAAACTCTGATACCCTTGGAGAAATGAAGCCTTAAAATTTTTACTGTAATTTCACAAAATTGAAAATATTTCAAAAACGGTAAGGTTTAAGTGTAATAAACCTTAATCAAATTTACCTTTATTTTAATCGTAGAAACTAAAAATGTAATAATATACAGGGTGTTCCATTTAAAAAAATAAAACTTTGATATTTTTTATTTATTTAAGACACGCTGTATCTTGTAAAAATGTTTTTAAATTGTAACACTAATAGCCCTTCAACGAACCCAAAACTTACAATTTGTAAAAATCTCATCGTTTAGCTACAATACTCCGTGTCGTATGTGGTGAATAACCCTGTATACAAGGTGTTTCAAAAAATATGTGCTATCTCCCGTGGGGAGATTCCTCAGGTAAAAATAAGATTTATTTTTCACATCAACACAGGTCCGATTGTGCTTTGTTTCGTAGCTACAGGGGGTTAGTCTTTAACCCCCCGAAAATATATTTTTTTGATTTATTATAATTTTACAATTATTAAGACTTTAACAACCTATATGTAGCTACGAAACAAACCAGAACCGGACCTATGTTGATATGAAAAATAAATCTTATTTTTACGTGAGACATCTCCACACGAGAGATAGCACATATTTTTTTTAAAACAGCCTGTATATTTTCAAATATAAGTACGTTTGTACACAGTAATGATTAGTTGGTTAATTATAATGACTAAGCTGTGGCAAGAGTAAGAGAGATTCAAATTAAAAAAAAGAAAATGTTCAGTGTTGTTGAAATCGACGATGTTTTGATAAATGATTTCAACCAATTTCCAAGATAGCTTTTCAATTGAAAAAATAAAATTTTGATGTTTGTTCTACCAATTTAAATCTGCGATTGAAATTTTACATACGTACCTGAACCAGAACTACGCTTTAAACCTAGAATAATACCGTTATTAAAAATCATATTTATACACGAAGCAAATATCTATGTTTAACGAAAACGGCAAAAATAAATTAAAGCTAAAATAAAGTCAATATAAATATTTTGCGAAACAGCATAAAGTAATTTGTGTGCTAATAGCAGGCGAGCACGTAGTCATGTATTTGATTAAATTCGATTTATATTCTAATAATATTCGTCCAGGAATCTCTGATTCGATTTATTATATTTTTACTAATTTAGCGCCTAACTTAATAGTAGCCAATATTTGTTAATGTAGATTATAAAAAGAACTATCAATAAAGTTAAAAAAGAAATTTGTTTGGTTTCTTCGAAACAAATACAGCATTTATCTTTGATAAAAAATATGAAATCCAAATTATTAAAAAGTTTCCTGTTATATTTTCATAATCAACGGTCGCGATGAAAAAGTGAAACTTCATTCAGAACCTCCCAATTAGTGGAATAAATTAGTGGTTTCAATTACACTTTATACTTTTTAGTTTACGATCATTCACAATGCCTAAAAAACACAATTAAAATTAATAAAATATCCTAGCAACAGCTTGCGGTAGTCTGTTGTATCCATAGAGAGAGCATAATATTTAGCTTATAAAACAATAAATTTTTGATTTCCAACTAAAATTTTTCTTGACGGGTGATAATCAAAGGCCAAAATGACATTCGTCGAATGCTTACATTAAAATTAGGTGAAGAAACTTCTACGACTAATTTTAATGTAAGCATTCAGAACGTCATAATTAGTGGCAGTAATTTCCAATTAGTGGAAAAAGTTAACAAACTTTTGATATTTCCAATAATTATACTTTATTATTATATAATTTTATTACTATATAATAATTATTTTATTACTATATAATTATACTTCAAAATTTGCGAGGAGTGTCATTTTGGCCTTTGATTATCACCCGTTAAGAAAAATTTTAGTTAGAAATCAAAAGTTTATTGTTTTATAAGCTAAATATTATGCGCTCTCTATGGATACAACAGACTACCGCAAGTTGTTGCTAGGACCTTTTATTAATTTTAATTGTGTTTTTTAGGCATTGTGAATGATAAACGTAAACTAAAAAGTATAAAGTGTAATTGAAACCACTAATATATTCCACTAATTGGGAGGTTCTGAATGAAGCTTCAGACTTTAAAAAAATAAATATTACATAGGTAGGTATGTAATTATAATAAATAATTTTAGACTGCTCTGTTTCTATTATTTATTAGTTTTTCATATTTTTTTGTTATTTTTTATAAAGAAATATGTTAATAAATTAAAAGTAAAACATTTTATGGATTTAGACCATGTCAATTTGAGTCTGAAACTCGATGTTTCGCCCACCGTATAAAGCTTTTATAAGGTAAGAGAAAGAAAATTATTTCGATATAAAATGTTACAAACATACAAGGACCTAGCTGAACACCACGCGGCCACCGAAGACTTGAAAGATTCTATGTAAAATTCTTACTTAAAAGATAGTGAAAGTACTTTTTTACTTATAAACATTTATTTAATTCAGTTTTTAGTATTTGTTCTTATAGCGGCAACATAGATACATTATCTGTGAAAATTTCAACTGTCTAGCTATAACGGTTCATAAGATAGACCTCTGTGACAGACGGACGGACGAACGGACAGCGATGTCTTAGTAATAGGGTTCCCGTTTTTACCCTTTGGGTACGGAACTCTAAAAATTGATGAGCACAGTATGCAAACCATATTTGGAGTGAAAATCAACTCTCAAGTACCAGTCAAGCGAACATGGTAACTTTGCTACTGAACTATATAAGTACTGTCGGTCGATGGCAGGCCAACAATTTCTTACGTCACGACGAAATAGATTTGTTTAAGAATAAAGAGAATTAATTATAACAATTAAACAATAACAACTTCTCTGGAATAGGCATATTAAGAAAATTACCAGCAAAGACACAAAGACTCATGATATGTAGAAGACTAACGGGAAATAGATGGGGTTAGCCCCCTAACATTTTGCATTACCTATGGATCAGTTGCTTGGTAACTATAAAAATGATTGAAAGAGAGAAACGTTTGCTCAGTATGTAAAAGACTATACCATAACGTGATATACTGCTGATTCCAAACTAAAGCAGGGATAGGGATAGGAGTATTTGGGCCGAAAACTAAATACTCCGAACCAATGGGCACCTACCCCAGTATCCTTTAGGCAGAAATCTACGCTATCCAAAGATGCGTATAATTTCATAGGTACCTACCATTTCCATGGTAGTACTTTAACTATCATGGAAATACTCTGTATGGAAAAATCATTAAGCACTCATAGAGAACCACGATAAACTTGGGCTGGGTCAAAGGATATGGTAACCTGAAGCCTGGTAACCATGTAAACAGATATGGTAACCTGATTGTCACTACTGAAGAACCCCTTTTTAAAAGTGTGTAAAACGTCGAGTTTCAAACTCAATATGACACTATCCAACCGTAGTAATTTACTTTGGACATTCCTTCAATTTGAAATTCTTCTATTTATAATATATTAATCCCAAAACAGACAATGAAATTTAACATCCTTATATATTTTTTTGTAATGTATACCTATATTATAGATGATTATTAATTCTCAGGATAACAGGATATAAGGAACTTACTGTTAATGAAATTTTATGAATTCCATTAACCTAACATTTATTTATTATTGTTTCGTATTTAATACATGCCAATGCTTTCCATGTGAAGTGTCAAAATTATGTGGAAACAAGTAATGTGATGGTAAGAAATTTGTAAAAAGTGCAGCGAATGGTGACCCATCACTCAATTTCAGGGAGTAGCGCTAATATACTGAAATTGAGCCCACTCCAAGCAATTACATAAATTTACATTTAGATGTTTATCGTTTGGCGAACATCAAACTTACTTGTATTATCAGAATCTGAAGTGGGGGTTTCTGTTTTATGAAAATAAAAAAAATATGTTTAACAAAAAAATTGTAAAATATATATTTAAAGCAACAAGGCAAAACAACATTTATAGAAACTAACTACTTGTCATTGTGCAATAGTTCAATTGCTTAAGTGTCAATATATTTATACTAGGGAGTTGTCAAAAATAGTGATGTGTAAAAAAAATTGATTGAAATATTGCACAGTAATAAAAATGATATCAGAAATAAATTCTTCATTTCAATAATAAAATATTATTTTCAATATCCGCACATTTTAGATATAATATCATTAGGTATACAGGGTTTTTTTGTGTGTACGAAGAGTACGGTCAATATGATAAGTACAATGAGATGGAGATGTATAAAGAAAGTAGAACAATGGAGCGTCCGGATTGCACAATGACCTTAGCGCGTGGCCGCGGGCAGCCCAGTAGGCAACCGAGACAGCGACGCGTTATTGCGCGCCGATTTAACAAAATAAATAATTTTAAACCTGCCGTCATTTCGTTAATAATTATCGTATCGTGCTGATTTTTGCATAGAAATACTCATGAGTCTTTAGCGCTTCCGACAAGCTTAAATAACTGGATTATTTTTTATATTTTCGATTTGTTTACATTCCCCGAGCATATTATAACTTTGAGATAAAAACTTCTGTTATAAATTTTAAAACTGATAAATATGAATACTATCATTTAATTAGTTATACATTTAGTTACAACATATTCAAAATTTAGGTCTATCGGTTTATGCTAGCAGTAATAACGAGTATAAATAAAAAAATGGTCAATACAACGCTCGCCGTTTTTAGCGCACGTTCAGCTTTGGGTTTAGTTTTAGCGCTATTTTTACAGAAAATAAATTCTGAACCTTGATCAAATGACAAGAACATTATCATTGCCAATATCTCCTGGTTATAATGTAGTTCTTTTTTCAAAATATTGCATTGTTTTAACTTAAAAAAACTTGAATTATGCGGCTTTTTTTGCGAGAGCTACCGGAGCTGCGTTAATAAAGAGATGGCTATGTACGTCAATCATAGCCACAATAGACTGTAATTTTGCCTCGTCACGAGATTTTTTGGAAATATTGCACTTCCATTTATCAGAATTTCTACTAACTTTTGACCTTTCTTTTCGGTCGCATTTCCCTCTATTTAATAATAAATAATTTAAAAAAAACGCACAAATACTACTGGTAGTAAACAAGCTGTGGCAAAAATTTTCTATACTCCATGTAAACAAAAGACTATCGCAAATACTGTCTTTCGGTTGATTTTTTAAGCTAAAACAATGCAAAATAATTTGCAATATTTTGAAAAAAGAACTACATTATAACCAGGAGATATCGCCAATGATAATGTTCTTGTCATTTGATCAAAGTTCAGAATTTATTTTCTGTAAAAATAGCGCTAAAACTAAAACCAAAGTGACCGTGCGCTAAAAACGGCGAGCGTTGTACTGACCATTTTTTTTATTTATACTCGTTATTACTGCTAGCATAAACAGATAGACCTAAATTTTGAATATGTTGTAACTAAATGTATAACTAATTGTCAGTTTTAAAATTTATAACAAAGTTATAATATGCTCGGGCAATGTAAACAAATCAAAAATATAAAAAATAATCCAGTTATTTAGGCTTGTCGGAAGCGCTAAAGACTCATGAGTATTTCTATGCAAAATCAACATGATACGATAATTATTAACGAAATGACGGCAGGTTTAAAACTATTTATTTTGTTAAATCGGCGCGCAACAACGCGTCGCTGTCTCGCTTGCCTACTGGGCTGCCCGCGGCCACGCGCTAAGGTCGTTGTGCAATCCGGACGCTCAATTATTTTGCAAGCGCATGAAATCTAGCGTCGGATTAAATGGGTTATGTAATAAATACTGCACATTTTTTCTCTCTGACTTACTAGGCCGCCATAATGATTAACTCCTAGATAGGCAAACACCGACTCGAGACTTCGCTTGCCAATAGTATTCAATTAGCCATCACTAATTAAATTTAAATATTTAAATTTCTAAATTGACATAAATAAACTTTAATATACT